GATGTGTTTAAGGGACATCTTAACACCTTGAAGGGTGTTTACGGCCTATGAATTGGTGTTTACAGTCCAAGCATGTGCTTGGGCCGTAAACTCATGTTTACCCCTTAAATGATGAGTTTTTGGTGTTCCAAGTCAAGTATTGTAAGCCCCTAAGTCATATCTAAGTTCCAAATGTGGTTTGGAAGGGTTTTAAGGCTCAAAAACCCCATTTATATGAGTTTGCGGCCCAAGGGTGTTCCAGGGCCGTAAACTCATGTCCTTGGTCCTATTTCATGATTTAACCACGAATTTGCAAGCTAAACTTGTTAATCTATGAGTTAGGAAGGATTACATACCAATTTGGGGTTTGGAATGGGTGATTTTGGATCCAAGATTTATTTTTTAGAGAGAGAGAGTAGAGAGAGAGTGGAAAAGCTTCAAATGAAGCCCACTCAACTTTAAATAGGATTCGGGTTTGGGGCTCGGTGGAATCCTACCCGATACTGACGTTAAACGGTGCTTATGGTCGTACCCGATAAATTTGCCGTAATCGCGACTTAAATGGAACTAAAAATTTTCCAAACAAATATGGAAAATATTTTAATGTTAATAATATATCCCGGCACTTATGAAACCGAAATAGAAGTCGCAATTAAATTAATTTAAAACAAAGTTAACGTATAAAATTTGAAATATGAACGATTTTATTAACGGAAACGGGTTACGAGACGAAAAGTTTTCGGATTGTGACACTTACCGTTAGTAGGCCTCATTCACGAAGTTGGTCTATAAGGGGTGTTTAAGGAAATTTCCTATAAAATGACGATTGAATGGGTATCCACTCTTACCCACCGCAGTCTTGACTAGTGGAGGGTCGTTAGCCGAATGGGTAGGATAGGAAATAAACCTTCCATTATAAGTATAATGAAGTACAAAGTAACTACATGATTTTACAAATTCCCAAATCATAGTTACTTTAATAAAAATGTGAAATTGTATGTTAATCCATGGTATTACAATTCGTACCCTTGTCAAACGTTAGTGGAGCGTGTGTGGTTAACCGACACACTAATTTGGGGATGACATTGGTAAAGAAGGGTGGCTTAATGCTTATCATGGATCAATGGAGCGTGTGTGGGTAACCGGCACATTGATTAGGTGACAGTAGCATTGGGTGCACCACGTGATTCGTATGGTTATTCACACCTTATTTGTGATCCCAGCATCCCAGTCACAAATAGAAGGCATAATCGAGATTAAACATGCCATTCAAAAGTTCAATGAATCTCAAAAGATATAGGAGTTTCAATTCATTTAAAACTTAAATTTCTTTTCATTTTTCGTGGTGGAAATTGGTAAATCGTCATTTACCTACCTTCAAATATTCTGCAACTGGATTACGACATCCCTCTTATAGGTTGTAGAGTATTGTGTTGGATCCTAGCCTTGATGTTTCATTTGGGTGTTACTATTGGGTTTTGAGCATTCTAACACTCCTAAGTGTACATGCAACCCTAAATACATTGGATGTATATTTTCTCTATTATACATACAAATATGAATATCCAATGTATTACCCTATCTAGCATACAATCATTGATACTTAGGTAATCAAATGGATAGGATACATACCTTTGTTTGATGTAGCTTGTCTTCATGAAGCTTGAGTACCTAGTGCCCCAAGTGTGACACCTCCAATGGTTCACACAACATCATATGCACTTGGAAAGACTTGAGAGAATTCCACACTTCATGAAAATCGGCTAGCTCTTTCACTCACACATTAGTTGCCGATTTTCCCAATGATATGATCTTTATATAGTGTCACAATTAGGGTAAACCCTAAAGGTCATGGTCTTCTATTTCCTTGGTTCCATGGGTTCAAATACACCATGGAGAATCCTATGGGTTTTAGCCCAACTTGATAATCCATGGAGCATTAGCCCACTATACAAGTATGGATGATTTACACAATCAACCCATATATTTAATTTGTTTTCTTTTGATCACTTAATTAATTCTAAATTAATTATTGATCAATACTAATTAAATAATCCTATTAATATATTAGAACTTATAATATATTAATAATCCTTAAGTGTTATTTCTCTCATTTTAGTCTATCCAAGTGCATGATGCCATGCAACCCAAATGGACCATGCCGAGTTGGGTCAAGTCTTACCAATTATGGTTATGGACTTAGACATTAATCCAACAGTTACATCAAGGATTCTATTCAACTTAACTTAATTTTTCTCCCGTTTTGTAGATGTCTGAATCTAACGATGGTCTTCCTAAATCCTTTGGAACAAGCTTTCCAAATGAAGATGACGTTCCGAGATACGATCAAGGAAATGAGAGTCATGCTTCACTTCCTCCACCTCCTCCAATTGTTCTCCCTGAACCACAAGTTCAAAGGCTTGAAAAGTTCAAGCTCACCCAATCCCTTTTAACATGTAAACACGAAGATGGGAAACCTGTGTGTGCACACGTCTTATAGATGAAGTCACACATTAACAAGTTAAGGATGTTGGGTTTCTAAATTTCAGGCGAGTTGGCTGTTGATTGGGTTCTTCAGTCACTTCCTGAATCATATAGTAAGTTCGTAAGAGAATACTATATGATGGAACCCGACGTGACCCTAATTGATCTCACTTATTTGCTTCTAGTTGCTGAATCAACGAGGATTTGACGTGTTGGTCAAGTAAATTTGTCTGGTGAGTCAAACTCCCAAGATTCAATGGACACTGGCAACATTGGAAGTCTAGAAAGGACTCAACATGAGATTGTCCCATGTAATGTGCATAAGGAGTCCATTTTCTTTTATTGCCAAGAGAAGGGGCATAGGAGACGAAGCTGCCCTGTTTACCTGAAAGATCTAAGAGATGGGAGAGTCAAGACATATGACTCTACTTCAGGTAAAATCCATTAACTAACTCTATACGATCCTATTTTTGATCCTTAATACATGATGTGATAAGATTACATTTTGATGTTTTGTAGGATCAAAGAAAAGAAAGGAACCTTAAGGAAGACGCGTGTTGAATCTGATCACGAAGAAATGGATTTTGATAAGTCTATTTTATGAATGTGTTAAATTGTAAGAATTATGTTGAATTGATGTGTAATTGCCCAAGAATGGCACAACTTTGATGATTTGTTGAACTTCATATGCAGGTCAATATATCGTACTAAAAGTGGGCGGAACCTGCAAGTAAAACGAATCGCTCAAGGAATAAATAAATGTTGTTGGGAAAGTTGACCACTATTCATTGTTTTGATCATATATCAAGTTCTGGAGCTCTGATTGACATGACTAAAGAAGCCGTGGAAACTAGACAAGATTTGCTACAGCTTTTGTGTTTTGTGTTTCTGCTAGTTATGTCGTTTTGACCACCAAAACTTGAAAATAATATGAAGGATGCCTCCAAGCGTCAAAGACGTCCCCTAGGACGTCCAGGTCAATCAGTCAACATCTGGGTGAATTTCGGAGCGGAAAGGAAGAGAGGACCCTGTCGGCGTCTTACATGGCATCTAAGACGTCCCCTAGGACGTCTGGGCGTTTTAGGGACGTCTCATGTTGGAAAGACATGTTTCAGAAAGTATTGAACTCAAGGAAGGACGTTCTAGGACTCGTCTAAGACGTCCCCTAAGACGTCTGATGTTTTTGGACATTTTTAGTGTATTTCAAGGACGACAGATGGCATGCAAGGACGTACAAAGAATGCATGGGCATTATACATGACATCTAAGACGTCTTCTGGGACGTCCAACGTCCCACATCGCCAAATTTCATTATTTTCTACCACACACTATAAATAGGGACCTATGCATTCATTTTTAGGGTTCCCACCTTCGATTTTCAGAGTCTTTTCCTGCATTTTTGAGGCTTCTAAACCCTTGGAAACATTAGGAAACACAAATCCATTCCATTTCAATCCGGATTCAAAGCAAGATTCGATTCAATTCATCATCAAGCAACATTTGAAGATCATTCAACCAGTGATTCTCATCAATTTTAGTAACTTTCAGAAACGATTACTTCTTCCCAAGGTTTATTTGATTCATATTTTGATAATCATTAGGTTACAATTGTTGGATGATTTTAAGTTTGTTTATGAATTCTATTATGCATTTCAATCATTTCATCAAAGTTAGTGTTTTTATGAACTCAATGGAAGGCTAAATCATTAAGGTTACTTTTGGGGATGTTTACGACTTTTTGATGAACACACTTGATTATTACTGGATTCTACTTAATTTCAATTGTTGTTTTATGCTTCATGTGATGATCTTTGGTAATGATACTTGAAATTGGGTTGTATGAATTTGTTTGATGTTATAATTAAGATAGTTTATTACCAATTCATCATTTGCAAGTTCAATTAGTTTAGGAATAAAGACAAGTGATTGAATCAACATATATTATTCCAATTTATGATATTGAATCTTAATATGGTAATAGGTAGTCGTAATACATTTTATTGCTAGTTCACTAATTGTTCCCAATTCATTTAGACATAAAGGAGTAAGACAATTAGTTGAATGAACATATTATATACCCAAACTATGTGTTACAAGTTAATAAACCCCAATTGCATCTAAGTAATTGAATTAGGATTCTAGGGAAGAAAGTGTGTGAATCTAAACTATCTATAACTGAACCGGGAGTACTCTAGTTTTCTCATTTTAATTAATAAATCTCCAAGTGTTTGTTTGATTTTTACTTTAATCTTTTCTGTGACAATTGCTAGTAATAGTTTTCTCTTTATTTATTACTTTGACACAATGTTTAACCACGAACTCCTTGTGGATTCGACCAGACTTACCCTGTCTACTTAGGTTAGTTGGTTTTTACTTTTGATTGAGACAACAACCTTGATCAAAATTTGGCATCGTTGCCGGGGAGATTGTGCGCTTGAGCTATTGTGTTTAAGTGGTTATGGTCTTTTACTTTCATTTTCAATTCTCCTTTGCAATTCATGTTTTGTTTTATTTGTGTTGTGCAGGCACACCAGTGCATGCATACGAGACATAGCGGACGCTCTTCACCGTTTTCATTTGATCCGGAAATCGAACGAACAGCTCGCTCAAATCGGGTCGCGAGAAGGAACATCAACACTATGAGTGTAGATAACGTTGTCGTGGAAGATGTGGTTTAGGGGCATGAGGATGCAGCCAACAATCCTCCACCACTAGTTCCACCACCAGCTCCTCAATTCCCAAACAACAACAATGGGAATAATGGGAATAACAACAATGCCGGTGCACCAATCATCATACCAGTGCAACTACAACCGAATAGAAACAATCGTGGCCAAAATGGTGGAAATGGAGGAAATTGGGCACAAAATATGGGAGGCAATGTAGGAAACCACAACGGTGGTAATGTTAGAAATCAGAACCAAAATCCTAGAAATGTTGGTCCTCAATTCAGTAATGGTGGTCATGGTGGTAACGAGGATGACTGGGATGTTGATCATGGAAGTGTCAACGAACTTGGTTGGAATCAGAACCACAACGGTGGTAATAGGCGGAATCAAGGCAATCGGGCTGAAAACGGGAACTACAACAATAATTGGAACAACTAGAATTTGCCCAATGGTGGCAACAATGACTACAATGATGGATTCGGAAATCAAGGCTTTAGGAATCAATATTGAAGGAATCCAAATGGTGGATTCAACAATGTAAATGGAGGATACTACAACGAAGGTAATCAATTCCCTCATCTTTACTTTCCGCAGCCTAATAGACAATCCATGGCGTCTCATTTTCATCCGGGAGAGTATGATGATGCTTCACCTATACTCTTCGCCGAAGGAAATGAGCATCATGTGCAAGTAAGACCACAACTAATTAGTGTCTTACCCATCTTTAGAGGGAATAAAATTGATGATCCATACAATCACCTCTATGAGTTCCTTGCAATTGCTAACGCGAATACTCCGCGAGGAACTAATAGATATTCATTTAGACTTCACTTATTTCTGTACACTTTGAAAGAAAAAGATAAGTAGGGTTCACTTCTCTTGCCCCCATAGTATTACTACTTGGGAGCAATTAAAAACTAAATTTTTGCAAGAGTTTTACCATGCTAGTAAAACAATGGAAATAAGAAAAGCGATACAAGATTTTGCACAAAAACCCAATGAAGAATTTCATGATGCATTTGAACGCCTCAAGGAATTGTTACTTTCATGCCCCTATAATGAATTTCCCCATTGGCAACTTGTACGTTTCTTTTATGATGGAGTTGACACTGCCAATCAAATCATGATTAATGACTCGTCTGGTGGCACTATTATGATGCAAGATAGTGAAGATGCTTGGCGATTCTTGGAGCAGTTGAGTCATGGTTCAAAAACAAATTATTCAGCTAAGAAACGGGACAACCCGATTTCATCTGCTGCTTCAGTTGGACTAGAAAAAACTGGAAAAATGAAGTCAAATATGATATTACTTCTTTAAATAAAAAATTTGACTTACTACTCTCTAGTCCAGACAAGGAGAAAGGTGTGTTTTTTCGCAGGGACAGAAGATATGTGTAAGCTGTGGAGATTCAAGACACATTGCAGATGAGTGCATGAGAAGTTAAGAGGAAATCAATCAAGTGCACGACTATGGTCAATTCCAAAATAATCGACGATCATTCAATCGGAACTACAACCAAGGCGAGAACTACAACCAAGGCGGGAACTACAACAATAATGGGAATTTCAACAACAACAACCGTCAAGGGAATTACCAAAACTAGAATCAGCCAAAACAATTCCAACAATCCAACTTTAACCAAGGTGGAACATCATAGAAGGAAGAAATGGATGGCAACAAGTTGGACAAAATCATGGAGTTTATAACTCAAACCTTCCAAAAAGCTGACACAAACTCCAAGTCCATAGCTGCTATCGAAAACCAAATTGCTCAACTGGCGGAACAAGTTGGGAAAAGAGAAGATGGAAAGTTTCCAAGCACCACAACAGTCAACCCATATCATACCCAAAGACCCGGAAAAGAGCATCATGTGAACGAGGTAATCACCTTGCATAGTGGGAAAAAGGCTGGCAACAAGGTAAGTGCTCCTACCTTAGATAATGATAGTGACACTTAAGTCATCTTTGATGAAAAAGAAGAGTTTGAGAAAGGTTTCAATTATGAAAAACAAAAAGTAGCTAAGGGTAAAAATGACTCTAAAGTTGGGGAGCATGGTGTGAAGGTTAATACTGCACCATACCCTTCGGCTTTAGAGAAACCGGCATCTTTCCCTTTTGGGAAGCGACGGCCGACAATGGAAGACATGTGGGATCTATTTAGTCAAGTTAAAATAAATATCCTGTTAGTCAGACTTATTAAGGAGATACCTTCTTATGCTAAATTTTTGAAGGATTTGTGTGTTCAAAAACGCAAACTCCAATCAAACCTCCCTAAAAAGATTGATTTAATCTAGCATGCGAGTTCCATAATATCAAATAAACTTTCACCCAAGCTTAAGGATCCTGGAGCACCTTTAATTTCTGTTACCCTAGGTAACATTAATATCAAAAAGGCGCTCCTTGATCTTGGAGCTAGTGTTAATATAATCTCGAGAAATCTTTTTGATCAACATGACTTAGACACTCTGGAACAAACTGATATTATTTTACGATTGGCCGATAAGTCAACAAAAATTCCCTGGGGTATATTATCAGATGTCATCATTAAGGTGGAAGATTTTTATTACCCAGTTGATTTTCTTGTTCTTGACACTGAAAGCACCTATAAAGAAAGTCAACCTTCTATTATTTTGGGTTGCCCGTTTTTGGCAACAATAAATGCACAAATTAATTGTAGAACGGGTACCATGGATATCTCTTTTGGAAATAGGAAACTTAGAATTAATATTATTAATACGTTTCCTAACTCATCATCAGATTATGAATGTTATCGTGTGGATGTGGTTGGCGACTTAGTGCATCAATTCACTCCCAAAATCTTACACCCCGATCCGTTGGAGCTTTTTCTTTCTAATGACAGGGCCGCAGTGTTAGAGTTGGAAGACATCAAGATGGTTAAGGAAGCATTTGAAAATGCTATTGAAAAAGAGAGGCCACCATGGAGCCATCAAGATGAAAAATTACCAACAAGTTTTTCGGACCCACTTAAGCCATCTTTGGAGGAGCCACCCACTCTTGAACTTAAAACTCTTCCTTCACATCTTAAATACTCTTTTTTAGGATCTAATGAGAACTTACCAATTATCATATCTTATGATTTGACAGGTCCACAAGAGGAAGCATTACTGAAGGTGCTTTCTAATTATAAGGGAGCAATTGGATGGACCATAGTAGACTTAAAGGGGATTAGTTCAGCCACATGTATGCATCAGATCATCACTGAAGCTGGAGCAAAACCATCTCGAGATGCACAAAGAAGGCTCAATCCGAACCTGCTAGAAGTTATAAAAAAAGTGTTGAAATGTCTTGATGCAGGTATTATCTACCCAATATCTGATAGTGATTGGGTGAGCCCAACACAGACAGTGCCAAAGAAGTCGGGCATTACAATGGTAGATACAGAAGATGGAGAGAAGATCTCAACAAGACCGGTCACCGGATGGAGAGTTTGCATTGACTATCGCAAACTCAATGTTGCAACATCAAAGGACCATTTTCTTATCCCTTTTATTGATCAAATAATTGAGAAATTATCCGGTAAAAAGTTTTATTGTTTTTTGGATAAATACTCGGGGTATAATCAAATTTCCATCCACCCCAAGGATCAATCCAAAACCACATTTACGTGTTCCTATGGCACCTTTTGTAATGCCCGTGTTTCTGGGCTAAAAGCATTAATAATGTTGTAATAGTGTAGGTCAACCTTTGTAACTCATTTTGAAGTAATAAAGAGGAATTATGTGAATATTATGTGAGTTATATGCTTATTTGCTTAATTATTATGTTTTAATTAATTAATAATGAAAAATAAGCATTTAAAATAAATATTATAAAAATCCGATATCTTTTAAGAAAGTTGTAGTGGCCGAAACAAGGATTCCGGAGATATAAAGAACGCCGAAATCCGAGTTATAACGAAGAAGTTATGAGCTGTCGAAGTTTTGCGACGGAATTAGGAAGCGTAAAAAGTGAATATTACGCTAAAGTACTTTTTAGCCTTAACAATCTAAACGAAAGTCATAGTATTCGTTAAACCGAGAATTTTGATAAAAAGAACGTCCAAATCTGACTTCGTATGAGGAAGTTATGATTTTTCTAAGTTTTAGCTTAACAGTAGACAACTAACTACTCGAATTAAGATCGAGCAATATTTAGCCGACACAACCTAAACGAGAATCGAAGGTCTCGTCAATACTAGTACAACGGTAAAAAGACCGACGAAAACGGACGTCGGATGAAGAAGTTATGAATTTTTAACGGATTTTTCTGTCCCGGTCTGTTAAAAATAATAATATTAAAATTAAATTCAAATATAGCCGACAAAGTCTAAAAGAAAGTTGTAGAGCGTAATTTTAGCTACGCGTGCATATAAAGAACGTCAAAAACGGAGCTCGTATGCGAAAGTTATGGATTTTAGAAGTTCGGGGCTCAAAATTCGAAAATCTCGCATGAACAGTAGCCAACCACGTCACCTCGCACGAAGCTGCTGCGTCACCGAAGATGTGGCCGAATCCGGATCCGACGCGTGTCACAATTCCCTCAGACCGAAGTCTCGGCCAATCAGAAGCCGCCTCGTAGCACCGCGTGTCCGAGTCTTGTAGGGCCACGTCTGAGCCTCGTAGCTACCTCCGTGTCTCGCCCTCGCTGCTGCCACGCGCCTCGTTCCTTCGCTGCCACATCCCGAGCCTCGCAAGCACTACGTGGAGCTTTCTCAGCCACGAAGCCCTCAGTCTCGCACCCTATATAAAGGGGGGGGGGGGGGGGCTGCGAGCCTTCCCGGGTACTTTTCTTTAACACATATTAAAAACACATAAGTTACATAAAATGAAGAGTCTTCATTTTATGAACCTTTAATTCATAAGTTATGAAATGAAAAGTTTTGAAGAGTTACAAAACTTGTCCTCAAGTTTTGGAATTTGGAAAAGTTTCACACACTTTAATAAACTTTAATTCCAACACTTAGAATTTTAAAAGTTAAAATTCAACACTTATACTATTTATAACATTAATGGTTAATTATTATATATGTATAAGAACAAGTCGTTTTACCGTTAGTAGGCCTCATTCACGAAGCCGGTCTATAAGGTGGGTATAAGGTTGTTGCCTATAAAATGGCGACTTAATGGGTGTATACTCTCACCCACCGCTTGCTTGACTGGTGGAGGGTCGTTAGCCGAACGGGTAAGATAAAAACTTATAAATTCTCATTAAGTATGATGAATATTATAAAGTAACTAAATCTTTTATTTAATTCCCAATCTTAGTTACTTTAGGAAAAATGTGAACATGGTGCTAATCCATGGAATTCACACTTTGTACCTTACCAAGTCGTTGGTGGAGCGTGTGTGGTTAACCGACACACTAACTTGGACTAGTAAGGATCACGAAGGGTGACTTAATGTTTGTCATAGATCAATGGAGCGTGTGTGGTTAACCGG